AGTTTGAAATGCACAAAAATGGTTTAAGCACCTTTTCCTACTGATGTCAATGAGGCCAGGATGCCCATGAATAGCTTGGATTTTCAAACAAGTCAAATTTTTCCTGAAATATGAGCCCCATTAAACTGCTTGAAAAGAGTGAAAGTAATTTAATGAACAATCTCTTATCTTTAATATCTCTTCAACATTAAGAACACTGTATTGTAGTAAGTGTATTTCAGTGTTTCTTTTAGGAACCATGGAGAATTCCTGCAACTTTTCCAAGAGGCAGGCAGTGGAACATTGAAACCTAATCAATCCCTTTAGTATAAACATCTTTGAAAATTCCTGATGTCCAATATGGCAATAGATTTTTGGTTTGTTTCTTTTTTTATTTTTGGTTGAAGATCTTCTATAGGATGGATTAAACCAGCTCTTTAATCCTGTTAAATTGATCTATAGTGCCTTAATTTTATATCATTCCTATAATTGTGTTGAGAGGCAAAATGTATTATGTTGAAACAATGCTTAATTTATATATATATTTTTTTGCATTGCTAGCATAACCTGTGACCATGACGACTGAAGTTGGCCCAGAGACTGAAGTAAAGAAGGAATCTGAGCAGCTGGAGGCAGATGCAGCTAAGAACAAACAAGACGAAGCTACAGAGAATCAGGAAAATCAAAAGTCTGAAAAGACAGTCTCTGAAGAGGCACAAGGTTCTCCTTCTCCAGCACTAGGTACCCAAAGCAGCCCAAGTAGTCAGAAGAAGGAAAAAGAGCCGTCTGAAGGCAAAGGAATATCTCGCTTTATCCCCCCATGGCTTAAAAAACAAAAATCATATAGCTTGGTGGAGCCCAAAGACGAAGCCAAGAAAAAACCTGTAGAGGAAGGAGAGACAGTGGAGGAGAGGGAATGTCAACTTCCAGGGGAAGTGGTTCAGCCAAAAGGAAGTGTGGAAGAAGCAACAATTGAGAGTGAACGGGAGGCTAAAGCAGAAGACAAGGAGGAGAAGCATTCTGTGAGCAGTGCTGAAACACAGGTCTGTGTGGAAAGTTAATAAAAAAGATAGCGGCTAGTCAGTGGGCTAGATTTATGGCTTCATAACTCCTCTGAAGTCCATGTCATATATTAAAATTGTATCAGGGATTCATATGTCTCACTGTACTTTTGTACAGTATTTCTGCTTTGGGACTTTAGTGATTCCGAGAGTATGTCTGCACAATGCAAAAAAAAAAAAAAAAAAAAAGAGTTTGAGTCCAGTTCTTCAGACATGGGGCTGTGGCGGTTGCATGATGATACCCTGGCTCAGAATAGAGTCAAAGATCCAATGGGCACATACTATTCTTAGCATGTCAATACAAACCCTGTGAGCCCAAGGCTGAGCTCGGCTCTGAATCTCACTTCCTTGTTTTGTTTTTCTGTGTAGACATAACCCTTTGTGACTGAAACAACTAGGGATGTTAAAATGAGAGTTGTTTGTAAACTTGTAGCCACTGAATTTTTCAGCAGTTAAACGTTTACACGTGGGAGGGGCAGGAGACAGCTCCATGGGAGCCATGGGAGCCTCCATCAGAGGCAGAAGCGCACGCACGCGCGCGTGTGTGTGTGGGCAGGCGAGGAGGAAGGGGAGAGCGGGCAATTCCATGGGAGCCAGCTTAAAAGCATTTTCCCTTCCCTCCCTGGTGTTTAAATGTGTAACTACTGAAAAATTTGGGGTGGGGAGGTGGCTCTGCAGGAGCACCTGCTCCCGTCTGCCCAGGAGCCATTGATTTCTCTCCCTCTCTTCCCCCCCTCCCCAACCTTAATGGATAGTTATTAAAAGTAACTTAGTACTCATGTACAGAAAAGAAGAATTTTCTTTCAACTTTATTCTGAAAGGTTTGGACTTGCTATTGTATTAAAATGTCTTTCTTACAGCCTGCAAAAGAAGATAATAAAGAGATTGAAGTAGAGAAAGTTGCCGATGAGCAAGAAGAAAAACAAAAAGCAGAAGAAAATAGAGAGACTAAGGAGGTACAGACAGCTGAAATCAATATGGAGAAAGTTCCTCAGAAAGCTCCTAAGAAGATTAAAACTGTGCAGTGCAAAGTGATGCTCCTGGATGGCACCGAATTCAGCTGTGACATAGAGGTGAGGCAGCAGGTCTTGTATAAAGAGATCTTTCTCAGTCGAAAGGCAGCAATGAGTACAGTATGCTTTCATTGCAATGTGAGTTAACGAATGCATGTTTGTTTTTAGTAATTGGAATGAGTTCATTATAGTGTCACATTCACAACGCTGCAGTTAAGGGTCCGTTAATATTTCCATTTTAAACCACTATCTTCAAGACTTTTCAGTTAAGCCATAAAAAAGTACTCTGAGCAGAAATTTCACAAATATGATATAAATTCAGCACATCAGCAGCATTCTTAGGGTAAATTGATCTCTTTTGGCAATTGAACCTTCTCCTTCCCAAAGAGAGAACATTTTCCTCAAGGCACTGTCTTTCGTTATTTGTAACAAAAACAGTACTTTGTTTTAAAAGAAGTGTTTGAGTTTAGACTTTCTGGTTTGACTTAATTTGATTTTAGAATTATTCCATGGGTGTAATGAAGAACTCAAGACAGTGTACTAACTAGTTCAACTCTGTGATTTAATACATGTCACTACTGATTTAATTTTTATATTTGTGCCAAATTTTTGCACCCTTTGCCTCATGCTTTATTTTTTTGTATCTTAAATCTTTGATGTAGATTTTTTTTTTACAAATATTATGCTTATTTCCATATTTAAAATTGGCCTTAAGAAACTGAAAAAAAGGAAAAATAGATGCTCAAATACTTGAACATTCTTTTGCATATTAACTGCCAGGTCAAGTAAAAATGGTGTCTGCATTACATATAGCAGAAATCAATTTAGATTTAGATTTGTAATCAAATGTACATTTATATTACATAAAATTTAAATGGGATTCTAGCCTTGAGGAGTTACGTTCTTAATAAAAGTCAGACCACAGTGGGAATTGAATAAACAGTTTTTCACCACAAGCTTACATGGCTTTAATCCTGGGTGAAATAGGAGTAGGGTGTGTGCTTATGTGGATTTTTTTTTTCACATGCTGCTTTATATTTTGGAATAGTAAATATTAAAATGTTTCTAAGCCTTATGCAATCTTAAGGCATTTCTCAGTTTATACTCTTTCCACAAAACTTAGTTCTCCTTCGAGCAGTTTCCCTGTGGGTGTCCCACTCATATGTCAGTTAGTCTAGGTTAGGAATGAAAAATGTGGTGTATATATGTATAGTAGATGCATGTTTCAGAAAAGTGCACAACTGATTTGCTGTTCTTTGAGTTAGTTGCTCATGTCCATTGCACTGTAGATGTGTACGCACTTCAGTGTGTAGTTATCAATTTTTTCCCTATAGTCATACTCATGGTAGCAGCACAAATACTCTGTGCTTCCTCGTGCATGCCCAAAGCTATCCCAGTCCCCTCAGTCCCTTTCTACTGCCCTTAATGGTTCTTAGAGATCCCTTTTCTTGCTTTTGCAAGTCTTTTCATCTGGCATGTAAATAGTGTCTTTTAGTTTCCGAAGAATTAGTGTAGTTTAGTTAATGTAGCTTATAAAATAGATCTTATTTGTTTATATACATAAAATGTATGTACTGGTTGTGGGTGTCAGATGTGCACTACTTTTGGGTCTTAGGCATTATCTTTCCAGAAGAGTGGCTTATCAGGAACCTTTACCCCAGGCACGGGGTTCATGATGTGCTGCTCACCACTGCTTGGGTTCCCCAACTAGACTCCAGCTGCTGGCCTGACTGGGACCCCAGGGGAAGGAGGAGGTGTGGGAGTGAAGAGTGGAAACTTTAGATCGGTTCCAGCACCCTTGGTTGTGAGGTATTAAATTAAATCAGGGAAATGGTACGTTGGCGTTGACTGACAGTCCAACAGCCATGAATTGGGTCAGTCGTCACGAGTGGTCTGTCAGCCCAGATATGGCATGGACCATTTTTCATCTCTGGGAAGCTATGCAAATGGACCTGTTTGCAGTAAAAGGCAGCAGAAAGTGTCACTAGTTCTGCTATTGGGCAGGCCACAGTCCAGGTTAATTGATGGACAGTTTTCTGCGGCTGTGGTCAAAGTATCTCATGTATATTTTTCCATATATCTCTTCTGTCCAGAGGTTTAAGCAAGATCCAGAATGACAAGGCCCATTTTACACTGATTTCTTCAGTATGGTCTGGTGAACACTGATTTTCAGAGCTCTTAGGACTATCAGTCGGTCTCCGTCACTCCTGCTTCATTCAGACTTGATATCACAAACTCAGTCCGAGCTTCAGGCTGTTCACCTGAAGTCTTCATGGTTAACATTGGTGGAGAAGTTCAGAATGTTCTGTTGAATAGAAGAAAACTATCGGCTAGACCTACTTATCTGGCTAAACAGGAGATTTTCCATTTGGTCCTAACTAAAGAGGATACCCAGTCTTCATTTCTGTTCCATGTGTGCTGAATTATCTTCTGTCCCTGAAACATGAAAAATTGTCACTTAGCTCAATCACAGTACACTTAGCAGCTATATTGGCATTCATAAGCACATAAGAATGGCCGTACTGGGTCAGACCAAAGGTCCATCTAGCCCAGTATCCTGTCTGCCGACAGTGGCCAGCACCAGGTGCCCCGGAGAGTGTGGACCGAAGACAATGATCAAGCAATTTGTCTCCTGCCATCCCTCTCCAGCCTCTGACAAACAGAGGCCAAGGACACCATTTTATCCCCTGGCTAATAGCCTTTTATGGACCTAACCTCCATGAAATTATCTAGCTTCTCTTTAAACTCTGTTATAGTCCTAGCCTTCACAGCCTCCTCTGGCAAGGAGTTCCACAGGCTGACTACACACTGTGTGAAGAAGAACTTTCTTTTATTAGTTTTAAACCTGCTACCCATTAATTTCATTTGGGGTCCTCCACTTCTTCTATTATGGGAACTAATAAATAACTTTTCTTTATCGGCCCTCTCCACACCACTCATGATTTTATATACCTCTATCATATCCCCCCTCAGTCTCCTCTTTTCTAAACTGAAAAGTCCCAGTCGCTTTAACCTCTCTTCATATGGGACCTGTTCCAAACCCCTAATCATTTTAGTTGCCCTTTTCTGAACCCTTTTCAAGGCCAAAATATCTTTTTTGAGGTGAGGACACCACATCTGTACACAGTATTCAAGATGTGGGCGTACCATAGTTTTATACAGGGGCAGTAAGATATCCTGTGTCTTATTTTCTATCCCTTTCTTAATAATTCCTAGCATCCTATTTGCCTTTTTGATCGCCGCTGCACACTGTGTAGAAGTTTTCAGAGAACTGTCCTCGATAACTCCAAGATCTCTTTCCTGATTTGTCATAGCCAAATCAGCCCCCATCATACTGTATGTATAGTTGGGGTTATTTTTTCCCAATGTGCATTACTTTACACTTAACCACATTAAATTTCATTTGCCCATTTTGTTGCCCAATCACTCAGTTTGGTGAGATCTTCTTGGAGCCCCTCACAGTCTGCTTTTTCTTCACGTCCTGCAGGCCCCGCCCCCGGCGCACTGAGCGCTCAGACGTGTGTGCAGGAGCTTCGCAGGTGGGGTGAGGCAAGAGGCCAGAATGCTGGCCCGCCGGAAGGGAGCATGGTCGCGTGATTACAGCAGGATGCTGAGCCTTGCGGCCTCTGCCTCCCACTAGGCCGGGCCCCGTTGCTCTGCCGCGTGCTGCTCCTTGACTGGGTACAGGGATCTGGGGAGGGGGTGCCCACTAAGCTTAGTGATCCGAGCACAAGGCCCGAGGGGGCTTCCGGGGCCTGTTCTGACGTGATTGCAAATGGAATCTGGTCGTTAATCTAGAAGCTGGGCTGTGCCTGGCTCTGGCCAAATAAGGTTGGATCACGGCGTACCCCATCTCTGCAAGGCCCCAATGGTTTGGCAAGTACTAAGACCTGCCCCTTCCTCCCCCAACACTTCCTTTCGGTGCACGGTGCTGTCAGCTCTGATAAAGACCTGGGTTGTGGCTCACTGCATGTGTCAAAATGTTGGTTTGCCCCAAATGACACATCCCTGCTACTGTTTTGAGATTAAAAGGTGTCACTCCCAGACGGGTGGGGGCTGTATTTCTGGGCTGACACCATGTACCCCAATTTTAACTTTATTTTCCTGGCTAGTAAACACACAATAGGCCTGTCAAAATCAGCCAAGTCCAGCTGCAGTGTTCCCGTAGTGCAGGTAAAACAGTGGCACAAAGCTAGGACTGTCGATGAATTAAAAACAGGAAGAGAGAAGCTGCAGCTGATCCGATTCATTAGCGATCAGCAGGTATGGGAGATGTGGCCTGTACTCCTTGCACAACACAACCCACATGGGCACAGCTGGCTCCGAAGTAACTGAGTGAGTTAGGTATCAAAGGGGTCACCGTGTTAGTCTGGATCTGCAAAAGCGACAAGGAGTCCTGTAGCACCGTATAGACTAACCGATGTATTATCGGAGCGTAAGCTTACGTGGGCAAAGACCCACTTCATCAGATGTATGATCTGACAAAGTGGGTCTTTGCCCATGAAATCTTATCATAGAATAATAGGACTGGAAGGGACCTCGAGAGGTCATCGAGTCCAGCCCCCCGCCCTCAAGGCAGGACCAAGCTCCGTCTACGCCATCCCTGACAGATGTCTATCTAACCTGTTCTTAAATATCTCCAGAGAGGGAGATTCCACCACCTCCCTTGGCAATTTATTCCAATATTTGACCACCCTGACAGTTAGGAATTTTTTCCTAATGTCCAATCTAAACCTCCCTTGCTGCACTTTAAGCCCATTACTCCTTGTCCTGTCCTCAGAAACCAAGAGGAACACATTTTCTCCTTCCTCCTTGTGACACCCTTTTAGATATTTGAAAACCGCTATCATGTCCCCCCTTAATCTTCTTTTTTCCAAACTGTTCCTTTCTATTTATCTCACACTGGCTTCATAGGTCATGTTCTCTAGACCTTTAATCATTCTTGTCGCTCTTCTCTGTACCCTTTCCAATTTCTCCACATCTTTCTTGAAATGTGGCGCCCAGAACTGGACACAGTACTCCAGCTGAGGCCTAACTAGTGCAGAATAGAGCGGCAGAAT